GGCACCCCCGGGCGCAGCGACGGGCGCTGGTTCACGGTCGCTTGCGCTTCCCCTCGTCGCGGGTGGGCAGAGACGCCGTCTTCCTGCCAGGACCTCCAGCTCCTGAGCTTTGAGCACCCTTTCCCAGATCCGGAGCCGCTTGCTATCTGGAGAGGTGCCCAGCGCCGCGGACCCGCGTTCTCCCCCGAGGGGTGGCTCAGGAGGGTGCTGGGGACGGGAAGGTGCAGTCGGTCGTGGCTCGGCGTCCTGCCCTTGGGAGCTGCCCTTGCTAACCGACGCTCTCCTACCAGCTCGTTCCCGTGCCTCAGCTGCAGGTTACAGGCGCCCTGTCGATAGAAAATTGCTCTAAAATCTAAGGAATCATAAAAAAAAAAATCCTCTTTAAGCTGTTTGATGGAGAGAAACGTTTCCAAATGTGGGCAGTGAGATGAGCGCGAGCCCAGCTGTGCTGGTGGAATCCCCTCTGCCTGCCCAGGTCCTGGGTGCCAGACGTGGCAGGGGGGAGAAGCCGGAGGGGAACCGGCTGCACACGGACGAGCAGCCCGGGGAGCCGCGCTGCCCGGGCTGGGAGAAAGGGAAAGAAGCAAATAGCTCCGGGTACGGAGGGGTGCGAGGTGTCCTGCTTCTGCGTCCGCAGCGCCATTAATAGAGGCATCATCAAATAATTATCTTCTCATCATGAGAAGTGGAATTTCACAAGGAAAATGAGGTGCAGGCGCGGTGTGCAGAGCGATCTGTTCCTGGGCCGTTAGAAACGGGCTCCCCGCGGCGCAGCGTGAGAGGAGCGGAGTGTTTTTTTTTCGCAGCGTGAGGGGGGGGGAGTGGGGGGCGGGGGGGGGGGCCCACCACGTCCCCCCGAGCTTCTCGGTGCCTGGTGCTGCCCCGTCCCTCGGGCAGCAGGGCGTCCGCAGGCCACGGGTATGGTCCAAGGCGGTGCGGACCTGCGTGTCTGCAGCTTGCTGAGCTCAGATGAAAGGCCCCGACAAAGGATTTGTTGATAATAAGTAAAGGAGCAATAAAAGAGCTGGGTCTGACTCGCAGCTCACCTGGGGGTGCAGCGCCGGGCGGCTGAGCAGGTTGGGGTGCCGGTGCCAGGGCTGCACC